GAAAGAAAGCATGCATGAACAACGAGGCTACAGTGATTCAGAATTTTATATTCACTCTAGTTCTACTGTTTCCGGTCATTAATTCAAGTTTCTTCGTACGTACCGTTCAAGCTAATGGTTGCCACAGCAACAGCTGAAGCTGGCAGGCGAGAAATAATCATGCGAAACAGCTGGCTGTGCAGACACCAAACGGCCACATTACTTTCAAGACGTAAGTAGCAGTAAATTGATGGTCGCGTACACAAACAGAAAGCTAATCGTAAATTCATCATTTCAGCAGACGTCCTCAAGGTAAACCTCCTTTGCTAAACCATCATCTTTTAACAGAAGCAAAAACTTTGACAACGTTCGTTTGGTCGTCTGTAACCTTCGAATTCTTAATACTAACACTACAGAAAAAGACCGAAATTTAAAATCAAATTCTGAAATCTGTTCTCCTCTGAATATGTTACAGCACATGGCACAGAACATTGTTCACTTGTTTCTAATAGTCTAGATGATCGTTTAAAATGAACACGAATTACTGGTAAATAGAATGTCCGCTACGCGATATAAATTGGAAAAAATCACAGGAACGCAATTCTTACCTGTGACACTGAAAAATAGCAGTTAGCCATTTAACGCATAATACCCAGGTTTATTTTTGCACATATATTAAATAAATACCTAGAGTAAGCAATGTTAACAACTTGGAGATAACGAGTTAAAGCCGCGTTACGACAGCGCCCTTTACTTCGGGAATGACATTTGATATAAATAGAATGTTGATAAGTAATACTGAGGTTAACTTCAATTACACCGCTCGAATGGAGTTCGAGATGACGTCTCTGTGAGACTTGGCACAGCCGTTTCTTCTCCGGCGATTCTCATCCGCGGCACGGAGCGGTGCCTCAGGTCTTGGAGGTGTATCGATCGAGAGAGAAAAAGTAGTCAAAGCGATCACTGATCGATGGGAGTGGAAATGTCGACAGGAAATGAATAAAAATCTGCAATCAAAGAAAAACTTTAAGGAAAAATCAATCGAATCCAAGTATGGCTATAACTTGAGCAACTTCAGACAGCAGCTTTCAATAACTGACCTACGGAAAAAAATTAAAGGCGTTCGGAAACGATAAAATATACTGACTGTCCTCGTCGCAGCTGAAGCTACCTCAAGGCAC